TGGTCACAATTTTTGTGGTGCCATATGGCAGCAGGGTCTACCATTAGACAACCTCCCTGTTTGATAGTTGCTTACTACCTATTACTTAGTGTATGTTTATAATCAACTTAACACACGTTAGTCACTCCCTTTGAGATCTTAAAATATGTCTTCCTATTTCAACAAAAATATTAATTGCCATCAGTTAAATGTTAACTAACTGACGTTTTTTCTTTCATCGTCTAGTAAGTGAGACCATTTTCCGCGCTTCATTTCTTACGCTGCAGTCTACAGGTGATCAGTTCTATAGCCTGTACCTATTTATTACCTGTTGATTGTAGCCTAACTTATAAATGTTTTGGATTAAAGCAGAGATTAGATAGCATTAACGATAGCTGACTTCATCCTGAACCAGTTGGTTAATTCCAAATTAACCAGGTTGGTTCACATATTTATTATATTGGACTTTAGTAACGAAACCCAATTGAAGTTTCTTCTTTTATTAAAAAGTATTATTTATATAATTCCTGAGGGTAGATCAACCGTAAGTTCCACTATTTATGAGTGTGGTGAGAAAGGGACGGCGTCTATGTAAATACAGTAGACGTGAATCAACGTCCGTTCGATATTAAGTAGTGAGTGAGACGCTGAGTAGTGACCCATCGAGGGAGAATGGAATAGACACATCACCCTCCCTCGAGGGAAGACGGAGCCATCCACTGTGGCTCTCAAATAACGTCTTCCTCCAGTCAAGGATATCAAGCTACTGCTCGTTTTAGGTGGCCAGAGAGCCGGCTACTTATGCCTTTACTCAGCATAGTATGACGCAAGCTTCCCGTGGGCACACCTTATCACGTGCATTGAACATGTCACCTCATAGCCAGTGGAAAATTTCACGGGATGAATCTGAATATAAATCAGATGTAAAAAAACTCATTTATATAATACTTTATGTTGATGAGACGGGCCATTACATCACTCGGTCACCTACCAGCCAAATTCCGTGAGGCCTAAATAAGCTCACAGAGTACAATACATCCTACACAACCCTAACCATGTTATAAACAAAGGTGTAGGCACTAAGCTGGGGATTCTACTACTGTAGGGGTTTTATCTACTACAGGGGTCCTATACTTTAATGTCTTATGGGTTAAAATGTTATGAACAATTTTCATCTTGGATGACACTGACTTATAATAACATAAAAAACATGACTTCAAACACAAACATTACTGCCAATATCAAAAGCAACATGGCAGAAATAATCTTCGCCTACTTCGTGTTTAAAAACTCATCTTCTTAGCAATGTGCAACTTTTGCTACTGTAATCACGCTGGGAAAGTGAGGGTGTGAGGTCTTGGGTTAGCTCTAACACATTATCTGCCTTCCTCTGAGCGGGAATGATAGACAACACTTTCGACCTTGCAGTGAGCAATGGTACTGAGTTGTGAAGGGTTTTACACGGCATGGCTGAAAATTTACAGTCTGTGATACTTTACTGTAGAACTATCATATTTTTATTTTAAGAAGATGTGTCTTTGACACAATTGAAATATATAGTTTGAAAATTATGAACATTCTTATCCTCCCTGGGATCAAAAGAAAATGTCGACATTTTCTATGTCTAATAAATACTGGGAATTATTTCACGTCAGTATATATTAAAATAAGTAAACACTTACAACAATGACATAACCTATCGATGTCCTATCAATGTGGAGTTATGTCTCGAACATGTAAATGTGTGTATATATTTCATGTATACCTAGATACTACCTATTCCTTGTAGGCTTGATTGAAGAATCCTTTCTAGAATATCTTGATAATGTGAAATTGTTGCCGCAATCCCGTAGACTTGTGTGTGTCACTCGCAGCTGATTCCATGGTCCGGTGACTGGGTCAATGTCCACAAAATCATTAGTACAGCAAATTACCACTCCTGGTTACACTAGGTCATCCACCACACCATACCTCAGAATGCTGAGACCATCTCTCAGACCGGAGATGTGTCATCACTAGTGGGGGATGCTGGGCTGCTGGTAACTGGGGTTATTCACGCCATACGAAAGAATTTTGTTGACAAGATGTTGATTTATGAGTGGTTACAATAACTGCAGTCACGTCCTGTCACACCCTGGGCAGTGAACGAATCATTTGCAGAAACTAATGTTCACTTCAGCTCACAGGATTGTTCCCATAATTCAGCAACTTTTAATAACTCAGTATTGGTTATGGACATAAAGTCAATGTGTAGCATATGTAACAGTTCATCTTCCTGTAGTAGTAAATGTAACACATATAACAATATCTTTGATTGCTATTTCATATTCACACTTACGTTATATATATATATATATATATATATATATATATATATATATATATATATATATATATATATATATATGTGTGTGTTCTTCTTCTAAACCAGAATGCCACAGTAATGGGGAGAACATAATTCCTCTACCTTTACCAACTGTGTATATGGTGAGATGACTGTTAGTGTATGTAACAACCTTCCTGGGTTGTCACCACTTGTAACAATCACTTGAGAAGCTATTTCGTATCGAGTTTCACTGTGTATAAAGTATTTTTTCTTTAAATACCTAATACAGGAGTTAGGGCGTCTGTATTGAAAACGCGATCCACAGATGGTTCCAGGTGGGGGGTGGTGGGTGGGTAACCGCACTCTTCCCTCCCACTGTGAGTCGGGCGCGCTGCATGACGAACGCCGGGTGAATCCACTTCACAACAGGGGAATACCTTCCACAGAATGGTCAGGTCCTGATAGACGCTTTCCTGACAGCTCTCACTTGTCGTTAACAGGGATTTCTCGTCAACAATAACTCAATTGCAGTTATTGGGAATAATTCTGCACCCTCTTTGGGCGACAGAATGAAAAGCACTCACTAATTATCGTCTCAATAAGGGATATAGTCTTAATACTCAGATTGTTTGTAATACGTCACTGTTTTTTGTTTTTCTTGTTTTCACAAAACTTTGACGTTTTGGTATGTAGACTGATAAGCATCCGTCACCACCGTTGCTGCAATTCCTGATGTGTAAATCACCGTATATTCCGCTATCTATGAGCGTGAAGAGAGAGAGGACGGCGTCTATGTAAATACAGTAGACGTGAATCAACGTCCGTTCGATATTAAGTAGTGAGTGAGTGAGACTCTGAGTAGTGACCCATCGAGGGAGAACGGAATAGACGCGTCGCCCTCCCTCGAGGGAAGACGGAGCCATCCACTGCGACTTTCAAATGTCTTCCTCTAGTCAAGGATATCAAGCTACTGCTCGCTTTAGGTGGCCAGAGAGCCGGCTGCTTATGCCTTTACTCAGCATAGTATGACGCAGCTTCCCGTGGGCACACCTTATCACGTGCATTGAACATGTCACCTCATAGCCAGTGGAAAGTCACAGGGGATAAATCTGAATATAAATCAGATGTAAATAACCCATTAATATAATATTTCTGTTGATGAGACAGGGGCCAGTGCAATCCTGATAAAGAAAGAGAGAGAGAGAGAGAGAGAGAGAGAGAGAGAGAGAGAGAGAGAGAGAGAGAGAGAGATAAATAAATGAATAAATAAATAAATATATAAATAAATAAATGTACTGTATTTTTTTTTTATGAATTGGTGTCAATGAGGGGTCCTCCTGTCAAGGCCATTCAGGTATGAGGGAGGTATAATAGCAAGTGGGTCGTGATAAATTATCCAGGTTTATGATTTATAAGTCTGTAAATTTTCTTAAATTTTTAAATTTATATGAGAGCATAATTAATTCTGTCTCTCAAAAGCTGTGCTCTCTATTCCCAACTTTAGTCCTGGGTAATATTTTCAACGTTCCCCATTGTAGAAGTTCAGGTTATTCGCATTATTACTGCCTAAATAATGCCAATTTTTTCAGGTAAAATTTTTTCCGAAACTCTGGAGCGAATTTCAGTGTGTTTTGTTAAACAATATTTGTTGGGTCAAGACAAACTTATATTTAATTTTTATAAAATAAATTCATGAAATAAGAGCACTTTCGTAATTTTTAGAGTAATTTTTTTATCAGCTGAGGAGGGAGCGGTGAGGATGGGAACCTAGCCAGAAGTTTCATCTCCAGTAATAACTCGTAGTGTTTGTGAGACAACCCCTGTTCATCCTGGGGAAAATATCATGCTCTCACGGCCAGCTAACATGCATGTCCTTGCTACCAACACCACCACTTATTTTTTAATATATTTTTAATTTGTTTTTATAGTACAGCTTCGGTTAATATTAATGGAAACTAATTAGTTTCAGAACAAGTGACCACGAAACACTTTATGCTTAATACAACTGAATACAGCACAAAGAGAATTTTTTTTATACATTGTACAATAGTCAGAGAGTTTTAAAGAGTACCTTGAAATACCGATGCTTACTAAACTTTAGTGACGGTAAATTAAGTCTAGATACCAAGAGTGACTTCAAAATGTACTTGCAGTGTTGAAAACTATAGTGTGTTAAGAGTTGTCTACTGTGAATGCTCTTATAATTATGAATTATGTAGGTACCAGGGTACCACAGTCTCGCCGTGTCAGCAGTATAGAAGTAAAGAGTTTCACACACATACACACATTATATATATATATATATATATATATATATATATATATATATATATATATATATATATATATATATATATATATATATATATATATATATATATATATATAACTGTATGAACTTATGAACTATAGATCTTAGCAAGTATACAAGGTTGGGTGTACACTGAAGGTGAAGTGAATGAATGGTATACTACCAGGTAATATATAATATGTTACCTGGTAGTATATTGTTCACTTCATCACATCATTGATGTACAGTATTCTTGGTTGCACAGAGCATAGGATCGTATGTAGATGGTCCTCAGGAAACGACGGAGGAGCTCTCTGTTAGTGCGTCTTGCCGTCCTCTACACCGTCAACCACGAGGACAAAGACGTTCATATCAGAAGTCAGTATCATTCCTAACGGTAGCAAGATAAAGTGTGGCTCAGACAAGGCAAGGACCCAAAGAATAACTCTGTATGGCCGCCTATTGTCATGGTCGCAGACTATTAACTTCTGTGGGAAGGCTGTCAGTGCTCGAATATAAAATGGAACGAATGTCAGCCACGCGCTATGAATCAAATGTTAGAACTCGGTCAGTTGTGTAAGGTGACCTCAAAACTCTCTTATCATGTAGGACACGCTGGAGTCATCCCTATAAGTTATTTTGTAGTTTGAAAGCTTCCAGATCCCATCGCCGACCCAGAAGTTCCCCAGCAACTGTTATTATATGACAGCAAAGGCAATCACCTGAGAGGGCGCCGCGGGGATCGCCTCAACGCATTAATTACTGGATCTCATTACGAATACCCGGCTAATTAATTGCCCAATATTTTGTCATTTATGTCGTGCCAGGTTTCATATCCACTAAATAATAGGAGGCGCCTCTGTCAGCGTGATAAGTTCTCATAAGTAAGATATAATAGTGGTAATAACTTCGATGCCTTTTGAATATAAATTTTATGAGTGTAAAATATAGCCGGGTTCTTTTGACTCCTTCTCCATCATCACACCGCCTCCTTATTACTGTGAGGCGATTATATTAATGCTTTTTTTCTGCTTATATATTTTATATTATTTTGTATATTTTATAAGGGAATCTACTGTACCTAATTAATAATTTCCATTACAGGTTTGCTCGATAGTTTTCTCAACCAGAACTGAAAAAAAAAATGTTCACTTATTTCCAGATTGCCAGAGATACCCTCGACAGGTGACACCGTGTCATTCCGCGGTTCCTTGATGATAATATTTACTTTAGTGACCGCGAGCAAGACGTGTAGAAATATTTTATAAAATTACTGAGCCTCGCATGGTAACATTACTGTGTGGGTTGGGTTGGGTTGGGTTGGGTTGGGTTGGGTTGGGTTGGGTTGGGTCAGATCAAGCCAGATTAGGTTAGATTAAGCTGGGTTAAGTGGGTCAGGTGAGGCGGACTGGAATAATAGGCAGAAGCTCACGAGACAATTTCAACTTCTCTTCCTCCTTCCTCCCGTTTGTCTCAGTACCTCCAATCTCTCTCTCTCTCTCTCTCTCTCTCTCTCTCTCTCTCTCTCTCTACTGCCATTCTCCAGCCTCTACTCTACTTCCCTTCAGCCTCCTCTCCCGATAAGACTGTGGCGTTACAATGTTATGCAGAACATTATAAGAAAATACAATGTTTTTATTAGATTACAATGTTAGTGACGGGAACCTAATTTATGATGTTATTTATCTAATTATCTCATTGATTATAACCCCTACGCAAATTATGTAAACGCTTTTAAGAGTTTTTATCATTAGGAAAATTTTGACGAAATTTCATCATATGTATTTCAGTGGAAGAGTTAATGTTGATACATAAGTTTGTGAAGTATTTTGTTATTGTTGATGGTTGAAATATTGGCTGCAGTGGGATCCTTGTTTAGTAGATTATTAACTAAATCAAGCTATGAAGTAATTAATTACTTAAACAGTGGCATTATACTAATTATCTTAAAGGTGAAATATTTACATGAATGCATATTACATCCCCTCGGTTGTTGTTAGTGTACACACACACAGACATATATATATATATATATATATATATATATATATATATATATATATATATATATATATATATATATATATATATATATATATATATGTATATATATATACATATAATTCATAATCTAATTTTGAATATCTTGATATAGATAAAAATAAATTATAAAACATTTTGTGGAATATTTTGTGGATAAAAAAATACTTAAGGTCCAGTATAGTATATACAGTACGGCCTCTGGTGCTCACGCTGGTAAACACATCACACATGAATACTTCCTCTGGTCTCGTTACTGCAGCAGATCCTGGCCAGATTTGCATGTGTCATAGTGAGCAACAAAACTTTTCATTCTGTACTGTAATTTAGTTTTCCTTTGATTAGTATGGAAATGAGAGAGGCGGCCGCTGCTTTACTCTTTCTGTAGCAGAATAATTACTGAAGTTGGCTTTTATTACATCCTCAGCCGAGGTGCGAGACGCATACATTTGTAATGTGTTGCTGGCGAGTGTTGCCTGTCTGTGTCATGAAGTGCTACCTGGGCGGGGGGGGTGGTTAAATAAGTCTGTGGATGACACACACACACACACACACACACACACACACACACACACACACACACACACACACACACACACACACACATACACACATACACACACACAGAAGTGTACGTAGGCAGTCCCGAGAAAAAATCTGGTTGTTTAAAGGAATTATTTTTCAAGTTAGTTGTAAAATTAGAAAAAAAAATTGATGTAAAATCTAATTGAGAGGTGAGACTGGAGCAACCTCAGGAGGAGGAAGTAAATATATCAAAATGGCCTTTAAATGCCAGCATCCGTAAATAAAACCCAGACGAAAGGAGAGCCACAGTCTTCCCTGGTGACTGATGTAAGAAATACTGTATATGGTAAAACTTGTCGGGAATAATTAATTTTCTTATAAGGTGTATCATTCCATTACAAGACAAACAGCAGACCGAAAATTTACCATTCAACGAAGAAAATTAATTCGTTGTATTATTACGTCTTTAGAATAAAATACTGCTTCAGGTCTAGAGTAAAATATAATAGAGTAAAGAAATATTTCCTAAAGTGTCCATATACATTTTCTCCAGTACGATGATCCAGATTTTTATGTTGTACTTGAAAAATTTATAAGAATTAAACACATGTTCTCGCGCTATTTTAAACGAGGTTGATAATAAACGAGTAATATACAGTATAGTTCACCTTAATACAATATTTACAGTACAATGGAGTAATTATATTTATTTTTTCTTTTATTTAGGTAAAAAAAAAAAAAGACAGTAAATGAAGCCTGGCGGAAAATCCCGTAGATATATACAGCGCCAATCTTTTCTTATTTCAAAGCCAACCCTTCGGTCCAACATTGATAAAAAACAAGAGAGCAGTGTCCACGTCGCTATAATCCTGCTGGAGCAAAAATCTCTTTTTTTCTTTTGTAAATCAAATGTATTCTTTTTATGAGGCATTAAGGTCTAGTATTTCAGGTTTTATCACTCATAATTCAGTCACGTTGAGACAACACCCGTGTAGCGTGGGGAATGGGACTTATTTTTACGAGTAATTTGCAAAAGCACAAAGACCTTAAATATCACGCACTTGAGTAAGAGACGGGGGTACTGAACAACCTCGCACTACACACACTCACACCTTTTTATATATATATATATATATATATATATATATATATATATATATATATATATATATATATATATATATATATATATAATTTCCTTCATTCTATTTACTTACAATACCTAAATTACAAATTATCCTTGACACTGAGGAGAAAGCTTGTAGTGTTAGCTAATTCCAAATTTACTTTGTCTTTCCTCAGATGTACACGGGAACGGGTGTGCTGTCACAGTTTGTGAACGTGCACGTGAACACTCCACGTGCTGCCATACTCGGTCCCCAGGAGCTGCACGTGCAGGAGGGCGACACCATCACCCTCATCTGTGTCATCCAACAGGTAGGTGACACCTTTAACTGTGTCATGAGGAAATACATCATAACACTGCAATTCATGAGTACGTGAAAGTCGGGGAGAAAATATAGTAGTGCGGTAATTAAACATGAAACGACAAGGAAACAGTACAGAAGTCAACAAGATGGGCGATGGTGGCACAAAGACAAATAACATGATTGACAGTCCTTGCTGACGAAAGTAAACACGGCAGCGAGTTGTACGTTAAGGGAGAAGATAGTAACCTTTGTCTGAGGGTAAAATCTCTACTTCATCACTTAACACTACTATTACCTCACACTCTACTGCCGCCTCACTGATGTAGGGAGTACTGTGTTACTCTATTATGTAGATTATGTACACGACTCACACCATCTGCCGTCCGTAAATTTGATGCGCGCTTAGTAAGTCATTTTCCGAAATTATACCTGTCCAGACATTTATTCTTCTACCCTCGGGTGGTGTTATGTCTACAATATCTTTCATAACAGAATATAAAGTTATCTAGTTAAAAAAAATCAATTAAGAAATATAAGACAAGAATGGAGATTATGTTAAATAAAGTATGTATTAACATGGTTATTTACTATAGATTATGTGTTTAACAAGGTAATTTCGCTTCATCATCAATGTAGACATTATGAGCACTGTTTTTCCCGTGGTTTAGTTACCAAGACCTTACGTTATATCAAGCTGACATCGTAACCTGGAGTGAGTTCCCGGGATAATATGGAGAAGTGCGTGTCAAGTCTGTGTCAGTCGCAGCCAAGTCGCCAAGGGAGTATTTTCGTGTCTATGCGATACCGGTAGGCGACGTTACATTGGTACTTTTTTCCTTTGGTATATGTATTGAAGCCTCTTGTTATTGATGTCATTTTTCTTTGTTATATGTATTGGAACCTTACATGATGATAACTGTCTCTTTAAAAAGGCCAGAGAGATCCGCTCATTGATATGTTGCCAACGTCCAGGCCTTCCATAGCCAACTCACACAGTATTCAGCGGACTGATATGAAATTTGCCTCGAGTGTTGCATTCAAAATGGACAAACGAACGCGCCGTTATAAAGGTGTCAGATGAATTATCCAAAAAATACGGCTTTTTTTAAATTTGCTGTAAATTGTTTAGTGGATAGAATTTACTTTTAACATTTGCTTTATATATAAGGAACATGTTTGGGTTGTGTTTTGCAGGTGTTAGATGATTTTTTGAAACACATATTGTCTTGAAATTTCCCACGTATCAGGTGTTATTCTCACTTTTATCATCCAAGAAATAGTCAACATAATCATCCTTATCATCATCCAGCAGATACCAATAAGAGACACCAACATCTGATTCACCCATGTGTTGGATGACATTTTCAGTTATGTTTAGTCATCAAAGGTGCTTCAAAATCCACCAGGAACTAAAAACGAAATTTATCAAAACAAAAAAGTAAATGGAAATAATTTCTTCTCAAGTCTCATAACGGCCATAAATCTGACTATTATAAAGACTAATAATTATCGCCCAAAATCTAGAAATTATTGTTGTTATCCAAAGTTGGAGATAAATGATGCGGTAAATCCTGAAATATATTTGTATACTTTTTACAAATACCAAAAATCAGACCTGAGTCCCGTCTTTTTTCTTCGTGGATAAGAAGAAACAAACTCATCAATTTGTCTTAGTTTTCCTCATTCTACAAACTCAAAACATTATTGTATTTATCCTTTATTTCCAGATAATGATACTCTTCTTACTGTTCATTATTTCTCCCAGTTAATATCAGAAATACAGTCGTTTTCTATCACAAGTTAGAACCACATCTGAATTTCTAGTCTCCAATACGTCACCTCTCTCCTGACTCTAGTTTATGCCACACTAGTAGAACCCTTGGACATTCCAGCCATCCTCAGGCCCCAGAGTAAGTTTCTTCTTCCAACACCATCTTCCTTGTCTCTTTCCTTCCCCCCCCCCCCTCCTCCTCCTCCACAGAGTAAGTCAGACCTTAGCAACATCCTCCTCCTCCTCCTCCTCCTCAGATTAAGCGACACCTCCTCTTTAACTTCAACCTTCCCTTCTTCCTCTTCCTCCTCCTCCTCCTCCTAACATTAAGTCACAAAGCTAACGCCATTCTCTTCTTCCTCACAATAAGTCAGACCTTTAACAACATCCTCCTCCTCAGATTAAGCGACACCTCCTCTTTAACTTCAACTTCTTCCTCTTCCTCCTCCTCCTCAGAGTAGGTCACACCTCTAACCTCCTCTTCCTCTGCTCCTCCTCAGAGTAAGCCGCCGTTCGTGTTCTGGTATCACGGGGAGAACATGGTGAACTATGATGGTAATCGTCACCGCCTGAACGTGATCACCAAGGTGGAGGGCACCAGGACGCACTCACGGCTCACCATCACTGACGCAAGGTGAGACTACCAGCCAAGATGGAGGTTTGTTTACAAGGGAAGAGTCTTATCAATTTGTTTTGGTTTTGATATTTAAAAACAATACCTAGATAACGTTGGTAAATATTCATTGGCTTGTTTTATAATACTATAGATTCTCATTTGTTCAGTCATAGTGAAATACATGTTTTTTTGTCCGAAAACAACGGTGACAATATCAGTATCTTTGATTATCACAGTTTAATCAACAACAAAATATCTCTCAGTTGTTCACCATTTTAAACTATTAAACTAAGTCCCCATAAGTCTTGAGTTATGAATCTGCTTCACTGTATAAACACGAAAAAAAAATGGATCCAGTGCTCTTATCTGTCTAGTAAGGCTAGAGTGGATTCAACATACTGTATACTAAGTCTTGGATACGTAAGAATACAGCGTGGCTGGCACTGCACTCGACCATCTTCACTTTCCGAATTGTAAGTTAGGTGTCCATTTACGTGCACTGCATCCACTTTACTGCCACACATCTTGATCGCGCCCTCAAGACCACAACAAGTAATCACAACATCGAATAATCCACGTTTATCTATTAATAATTTCCCATTGTCAGCACAAACCTTCACCCAGTCGTATAAATTCATCCCCAAAAGTATCAGCTTAGTTCAAACATCCTCCTGATTTCACCAGCGTTAAGAGTAACTTGGAGGAGTTTTCCGCTATAAATCAACGTTGAGATTCAGACCCACTCAAAAAGTTTCTTCCTGACTCAGTATCCATGAGTCCTGCAGCTACAGAAAATGTTCGTAGACTGAGGAGTGCAACTTGAAAAGTCTCCTTCTCGTCTCTTCACACTACAAAACTTACGAGTATTTATTGATAGAACCCCACAGTTGTATTAATGAATGTAAACTGGTAAAACAAATTCTCTTATACATGTTTCCTGGTACGTGAGGAAAGAGACATGTCTGACCTATTTTCTTAATGATAGAAAAGTTTTATCCTTGTTGCGCGTTAATTAGTTATTTCACGGGCGAACAACACAATTCGTATTCAACGCACCACACTGACACTGTAACACTATAACACGTGAAACATATAATTACACAGCATGATGACGATGCTAACAGAAGAGGGTGTACTTACCTAGAGGCGTCAAGGCTTCGGTCCTGTAGAGAGAGACGTGACGGTGTTGGTCTCTGTCGCTTCTCCCATTTCAGTTCACCTCGACAATTCAATCTGTAATGTAAAGCACAGACGTCTTTATTAAGATTCATCCCTAGTATCATATTTCAACAGTAATTTTTTTTTATATGTAGCTACGTCCTCTGTTATTCATCTGACTAGCACAGTGAAAGTGAGCCACATACTGTTAGCCTGACTACCTGATAGGGACAGTGTGAATGAATACATTACAAAGGGGCAGCGTGGCCCGGAAAGCAATCGACCGCATTCACTGCCCTAATAGCTAAGTGAACTGGCAGTAACATGGGATCGAACCAGAATCCCTTACAACAAGAGGCAAGTGCACTAGCTGCTTAAAATGTCAAGTAAATTATTATCACTAACTTGTTTAGCAAACAGACAGTCATATTTGTGTTAAGCATTCAACTAACTATTTAGATCACGTAAATTTCCTAAATTAGTCATTTACACTATCCCCAGACTCTCTCTCATAGGACCAAAAACAGAGATACACAATTTAAAATGTTCCACTACTGCACCACGAGGATGGCTAATGAGAATTAATTGCATCCACTACTGACTCTAGAGGCACAAACCCACAAGTTCCTCGTGCTTGAATATGACCTCAATATGCACACAGCGTTGTGACGTGACTCCAGTGTCGGCTACACCAGGCATATGAACTTACTTGCTACGTGAAGGTCTTTTACCCTCGAGACCACATATACAGTACATCATACAGTATGCCTCAAACCACAGCGGCCAATGATACGATTTAATATCTTGCTTCTAAAGGTCATAAAGCCCCCCAAAAAACGACACATTGGTTACCGTAAAGACCTCAGGGATCCAATGTAAAGCTCTACCACACACACACAAATAACAATAGACTTTAGTAACACTACTGTATCCGCGCCTTGGACCCCCCACCCATCACACACACCATGTCTCACTGCCGTAGTTAATAAAGAAGTTTATTATTTAATGAAGCATAAAAGCTGGGAGGAAGAAGCTAGATTTGTACTTTATATTTTTCTTCTCATCTTTATGATAATTTCCTCCAATGAAACGACGTCGTAAAGCCTAGCTGAGGATTATGTTCGTCTTAGAAATACAGGAATTATTCTGAAAATTTAGTAGCCGCACTATCACCTGTGTACACCTGTTAGTCACATCACGCTAGTCTCACCTTTATGGCTGAACACAAATATTCCTGTTATTGTTAGGAGGAATATTCTTAAGACACTGTGGGCATTTTGTTGTTAAGATTTACTTTATCAAGATTTATCTTATCCACGTTTTCATTGTGGATTTACATGAAATATATATATATATATATATATATATATATATGCGCGGACGCTCACACATACACACAAACGTACAAATACCCTCAAAACATACGCACACAAGCACCCGCACAAACATACACATAAACAAATGCACACACACACACACACACACACACACACACACACACACACACACACCAACTATGTACTACACTGTCTCATCTACAGAAACGAGCGCTTGTCTCCTGCAGCATACATAACATAAACACTGACAGCTGAGTGTTGCGGTAATGGGGGCTGCCGGTGGAAATTCTAACTCATTGTGTATTTACAGCTCACCCCCTGATCCACAAGCCTATTAGGGAAGTTAGCTTAAAAGAGATCACTCATAGCCGCTAAAAACTAACTAAGTATCGAGGCAAATCTATCTGTCTAGCGAAAAAAATATTTGATTGCAATACAGCCTAAATATACTTACTGAAAGGTCATGTTGTTCTGATTACACTTTAGACACATTATCTACTAAAAATGGCCTAGAAGTATTAAACACAATTACCAGACCTTCCGCGGCCGTTGTTCTCGCCTCTATTGTCTTTATCTCTGTGAGAACAACGAAAGAGATGTATCTCTCTTAATTGTTAATCGTTGACACTCAGTAAGAGAGAGAGAGAGAGAGAGAGAGAGAGAGTTTATTGACCTTAAGTTTACATATTGTAGTTTAAGAACGTAATACAAATATAAATAACTGTAACAGCGCATATAGCACACTAACTTATAATCCCCCCAAAAAAATCAAATCAAAAGATCACAACATCAACACAACAAATATTTGGCCGACAAACACCTCCCGCACGTGTTACTGTTTCTCGCTAGATGGCCGTAGTTGACGTTTTCTTCTCTTTTCTCTCTACAGGAGCTGGGATTCCGGAAACTACTCCTGCATCCCACCCAACGTAGAGCCCTCCTACGTGTTGGTCTTCGTCACAGAGGGTAAGTCACTCACTGCTTTACCTCCCACCTTTCCTTCACGTTAACTCAGGATTTAATTTACATGTTGAAGAGGATTTATTTCTTCATTTTTCGAGGTAAATATCTCTTTAAACTAGATATATGTTGAGAGGGGATTTCGCTTTTTGATGCCGAGGATTAATTTTGTCGTTTTTATGAGCGAAATTCTCTTTAACTAGATTTATGGTTAGTGAGTGAACGTGCTTTAACATCAAGGTGAACATTTTATCTACTTTTTTATGGTGAACTTTATCTAAAATTAATTTAAGCTGACTCAGGGCACCACTTTCCTGAGTTAGGGGATAAATATAGATGTTTTTATGAGTAAATATTTTGATATAAATTTATGTTACGAATCTTAACTGTATGTGGTGTTGAGGCTTTGTTTACCGGTTTAACGTAGACAAATTACTATAACAGTAAGTTTATGCCTTGCGGTTTGTTTTACTGATGTGGTTTCCGTAAATATTTGTTTTGTTTATGATTCGTTACACACATACAAAACACACACAAACACACACACACACAAAAAACATACATGCACAAATATATAAATATCCCCGAGTTAAGAAAAATTTAAATATAAGGGCGTCTTGGAAAATGTGCCTCGTGATCTCCAAACGAAGGAAGCACAAGCAAAACATGAACCTGAAAATCGAAAAGTTCACCAAAAGAAGACGAAATATCTACTGACCGTAAAGAGGGGTCAGAATTGTTGAAAAGATCCACCTTAAACGTTGATATAAATATTGATGAACACAGTCACACACATAAGAGACAAAACATGTTAGAAATTATATAGTTCTAATGTCCTGTATTATAGTATCAATGGTAATGTTGGGTTGGAGAGAATGTTCGTTGGTACCAAAAGTGTATTAATTTTAGTAAAAAGCTTCTGTATTTCAAGGTGGATTTCATTTGTTAACTGAAAGAAATTAATAAAAAAAAAAATACTCAAAAGCTCAAAAAAAATTAATATATGTCAAAAACCTGATTTTTTTTATATTTGTGTTTCGAGAATTTGTAAAAAAAAAAAGACGCAAAACTTAATTGAATCATTTTGTTATTGCCAAACACTGAGTGGGAGGAAGGTCTGTGTGGGTGGCCATACCTCACTCCGTCTGGTCTTTCTCAACAATTAGGCCTATTACTAGTTATGTGTGTATCAAAACTCTTCAACCACCAATAATAAATTTCGATCGTCTTTAAAGTGTAATATCAACATCATTATAAGGTTAAAAAAGTCATTCATACATACATACATACATACATACATACATACATACATACATACATAGAGAGGCCTGGGACCACACCTCAGTCCACGTGGTGTCCCCATGATGCTACGACACCACGTAGTGAATGCGTTGCTACAGCATAATGTGAAATTTCTCATAACACCATCTGTGAGGGAATTACTACGCCACGTCAAGCCCCTCATAACACCACCTGTGAAGGAACTAGTACTCCACGTGATGCCCCTCATAACGCCATCTGTGAGGGAGTTATTACACTACGTGTCTACTGTTCAACACCTCAGCTTACATGATCTACGTGTGTAAACATTAATCTGTATGTTCACTGTATGTTCTTTCACCTTTCTCTAATGAAGGCTTTTGTTAAACCACCAATGTATGTAATAAGTCATTTGTGTCCAATGTATATTTTCAGCCTTCGGGCTGCAAACTTTTTCAATAAACCGTTTATTATTATTATTATTATTATTATTATTATTATTATTATTATTATTATTATTATTATTATTATTATTATTATTATTATTATTACATACATACATACATGGAGATGCTAGTATTCTCGGACTCCTATACAACGTAAGGAAAATAGTTCTTAAATCTTGGTATAAAAAAGTACACATCGTAGCATATCCAACCAAACCGACTGAGTTAAACACAATGCAAGACTAAACGAAGCAGGAATATAATGGTATGACTTAAAAATAATCTTGACCAAAATGACTGCTTAGTAGATTCACAAGTTCCTAGTCTTTAGAGAATAACAAATTATATTCCAGGAAATCATGGAGTTTATGTCGGTAAGGCAGGTGACATGAGGTAATAAAACTCAACTGGGTGGAAATGAAAGTTACAGTAGTGATTGGGGTGCCTTTGGTTAGGTTAGGTTAGGTTAGGTTAGTATCTAAGGACTGAAAATGTAAGTAGTAGATTATATTTCAAATCATAACACGAGAATTAGGTATTGAACTTAGATGTATAATTACAATTTTTATTAGTTGATGATTAAAGAATGTACTAACCAAATAATATGCGCTTGAAGACCAACGCTGTTAAAACACAATAACACACATCATCAACATGGAACTGAAACGGCTTTTAGAAGACGATAGTGCAAGAACGAAGACGAGAGCTGAGGGTGTATTAAGATGATCCTAGACTGAATTATATTAAATAAGATAAGATCCATGAACAGAGAGATGGGATTAGGAAGTTAAGAAGCTCGGAGTTGGCGAGTAAGATTCAAGATATATTTTTGAGGTCCTATGTGGCTGACTTTTACCCTTTGCGTTGCGCGACATTGGAGGAAGGTGGTGGTAATGGTGATGACTTTATCCACTCGTCTACCGATTAACTGGTTCTTATTAAATGATTAAACAAACTGATCTTTTTAATATATTTTACACAAATATTACAAAATTTGTCTGAAAATTTTCATAATGGGAATCATGTGAAGAGTAGAACCCTCAGCTTATTTTACTTGATGATTAAACACCCTAACGCTAACCTAACCTAAAGTGACCTAACACTAAAATAACCTAACCAAGCATGACCTAACAAAACCTGATCTAACGCTAACCTGACCTCACCTAACCTGAACAAACACTAACCTAACTTAACCTAACATGAACTAAGGTAGCATTACCTATCCCAACTCCCTTCAGGTAGCGTTAGTGTGTTTGTTTAATCATTAGGTAAAATAAGATAGGGTTCAGTGAGCAATTTCCCTATATACATAGAGAGAGAGACGAGGATCTTCATCGTACTAATTCACCAGCCGTAGCTGCCCCCTGGCCGGACCAACCAGCTTTAAAGGCTGGAGCTCTGAACTTTATATGAGGGCCCCTCGCTTTAAATTAGATGCGCCCGCCTGGGTATTCACACAGCCTCCCACGTAGCTGTCACACCGGCCAGACGTGTCTTGGAGGTCAACCCTGTGTGTAACTGTATAGGGAGAGAGATAACGGGAGAGCAGGGTGTGTGGCTAAAGTGGGAGCAGGGAATAGCAGCAGGATGGGTAATGGAGACTGAGAATCGGAATGGAGGGTGGGAGATGGAGATAGGGAGTGAGTGGGTGAGTGAGGGTGGGAGATGGAGATAGGGAGTTAAACGTGGGTGAGTGAGGGTGGGAGTGGGAGATGGGTTGGTGATGGAGAGTGGGAGGTGACTGGTGGGAGAGAAGGGAGGCATGTAGTAGGTAGGTGGCAAGGAACAGGCAGGACGCTGGTAGTATATGACATGTGACAGGTGGGAAGGAAGGAGGATGTGGGAAGTGACAAATGACAAGACGGAAAGAAGGGAAGGAGAAAGGGGAAGAATAATATGAAAATACAGTAAATTATTTCCGGTATTCTTGCACTTGATATTTATCTCGATAAATAATTGTACAATATAACACAATAAATTCAGTAAAACAAAATCGTATGCACTATGTAACAAAAAATTATTCATAATGTCCTTAGCTCAAGTGTGTACGAGCTCTCACACACACACACACACACACACACACACACACACACACATAAATCCATAAATAGATTAGATTAAGGTTCAACGAAACAATTATTTCAATCCATCATTTACAGAATGTTGGGTCACTTACAGTACATGGTGTTGGCTAAAACAAGACGGTAATGAGAGTCTCTGTTGTATTACTCTCAAAATTCGTTTATAAATCACACAAATCTTTTCTAGTAAAGCGTGAAGGTCACAGCCACATCACAGCTGTTCCCAATAAGAGTAAAAATATACCATCCAATTTCCTGAAACAGCAGCCTCGAGGACGGTGCTGTATCACATAGCATTGTTCTCAACCGCTATTGTCGGTAATCTAATTATCTTTATATGCACTTATGCAAACGTGCATGATTCTACCAGTGTCCGTGCATGACTCCCTTAGTCCCCGCTGTGCCTGGAAGGTTGCTGGGTAACAATAAACCGCTAATGAATTATGTAAACGTATGGAACAAGGATTACCACCAATTCATATTATTAAACAAGAATTATTCATATATATATTATAACATGGCAACTCCAGGTTATTTTTATACCGAATAAAGCAGAGTGAGACAACCCTTACGAAACATTTGTCAAGACACCACCAGGCGAAGTAACAGGTTTATTTCTTTGATTTTGTTCCGGGCGAATGGTTTTTTACCTGGACCAACGCTGTAATCTAACTGGACGACATAAACATATACATTGATGATGATTGGATAATACTTGATTGACTATTTTCACCGGTAAACCATACTGAATATTATCATCACCGGACGTAATCTAACTTCACCAGTCCATCACATTTTGTTTATTTTGATGTGCACAACCTTAGTTTTTGCAAACTAAAGATTGTCCCTTCACATCGATAATATATTTAAGAAACATTAAACGAGAGCATATTGAAAGTGGTAGAGTGAAACAGTTTACACATAAGACCATCTCTGAAGACAAATAGTCTTTATAATGCAAAATCTGTATTTAGAATATCCAAATAAGAACACAAGATAGCCACAACACACAAATTACGTTCTAAACAGACATAGCCGACAAGATCACTCCAAATTCTCTATTCACTATCCTCCAAACTCCGACACATTCTGGGGTCCGCCACTACCCCGAACACAGCCTCCAACTTCCGACTTACTGGAAGCTCGTCCAGTCGATACATTCGAAGCCATTGTTATGAACTTTAAAGAGAGCTTCGCTTTCAATTCTCTGCGGTGTAGC